GTTTACTGAATGAGGAATAATCAAAACGGATGTTGGAAATGAAATAGTAATCTTTATAACATCAACAAAATACAATACTCGCCAGCGGCGTAAAGTAGGTAAACCACTTCTAATGGTGGACTACGTAGACACCACTTACAATAGTGTCCAATGTATTTATGAGGATTAGGACACACCCATTCGTGTTTCTAGGTACGGTATATAACAATTATTATTATTATAATAATTATTATTATTACTATTAAGTGGTTTCGTAGTACAGGATTAAAAGCTGAAATCACAGGTTTTATTTTTGCTTCACATGACCAATGCTTGCTAACTAGAAATTACCTAGCAGAAGTACTGAGAAATTGTGATAACCCAAAATGAAAATTCAGTGATGAATATCTAGAAACAATTGACCATCTTGTAACAGGTTGAACGGTATTAGCATCTATCGAATATAAAACTCTGCATGAGAGGGTACGCCAACATATACACTGAAATACCGACAACTTTTATGGAAAAGAAACTGCAAGAAACTGGTATAAACATCACCCAGACCCGGTTACAGAGATAGGAATTCTAACACTTTTATGGGATTTAAAATGCACGCAGACAGAAGAACATTTAAATCTAATCGTTCAGACATAGTAATCAAAAACCACAATATGCTTTCTTTTTGACATGTCATTTCCGGCAGACTGTAATGTATCTTTTTCAAAATTATCAGATCACAAGGATCTTGAAGTGAAAATCTTAAAAATGTGGCACATATGGGCATCACTAATTCCAGTTGTATTTGGGGTATTGGCTTTGATTAGAACATGATGTGATAGACTCGTTGAAGGGATCCCTGGGAGCCCATGCTTTTACAAGATACAAAAAAGAATATTCTCGCAAGTACAGCTCAGACTTTACGAAGGGCTTTAACTATGTTTTTATATAGAAATATTCAATGGAAAATGTCATGATGCCATTTCTGACCTTAGGTCTATGATTAGAACTCGGAAGGAAATGAGTATACAACAGAAATCAAAGGAAATAATTCTCCTCCATTTGTCGTGGTCGTGTGCCAGAGACTCGATCTCCGCGAATGTTTTCTTGGTTTGCTCATTATGTGGCGTGTCCGGAGCGTTTTAAACTGGTAGAACCCATCTCTCTCCAGGTTAGATCACAGCCAATGTTTAGCAAGGTGGCTGGTCTTGGTCGCGAACACGTGGCCGCTGTAGTTCATCTGATATACCCTTTTGCCCTGTCTGGTGACCTGCGTCGAGGAGGTCCTTTGCCCGGTGGTGTCGTGTTAACATCACCCCTTCACGAGTGCTTAGCTCGCCAGCTGAAACCGGTTTATCGGAACATGGCAACCTGGAGATATTATGTGAGAAATTTAAGAGATGGTTCAGGACCAGTGATGCTCGTCCACCTAAATGTGCAGCGTGCCAGACATCAAAGGTACTAACTTTATCCAGAGCCCCTATCTCCACACACACACACACACACACACACACACACACACACACACACATATATATATATATATATATATATATATATATATATATACTAATTTAAAATATAGTTCCATCGCTACACAGGAATTACCATGTTTCAAAAACAGAAACTAAACTTGAAATTAAAGATTTTAAATTTAATTCTATAATTAAATTTAAAGTGTACTTTCTGTTTTTGAAACATGGTAATTCCCGTGTAGCGATGGAACTATATTTTTAAATTAGCAAATTTATAATATTTAGACTCTACTGAATTGTATAGAGCACATTTTTAAAAATAAAAATAATTGATAAGAACACCAGATGATAAATCTTACTGTTCCTTTTCATTATTTTAACACACACACACACACACACACACACACACATATATATATATATATATATATATATATATATATATATATATATATTATGGCGGAGTGAACAGTTAGTCATACAATGTATCACTTTCAGAAATATTATTATATATATTTTAAACGATAGTAACATAAATCAATCAATAAATAAGAAAAGAAAATTATCAGGAAATATATGAGAACATCAATACTTTATTATTATTTTTGTTGTCCAAAATTGACTATTCTGAACCAATAAAAAAATGTTATGATTCGAAATGCTTTTTGATCAAATTTGAAATTATATCCTTGTCCAAACGAAAAATGTTACTTACAGTCAATAAATAGGAAAATGATAAAAGAATAAAATTATAGACAAATTTAAAAAAGGAATTGATTAATAAATGATAGGGAAGGAAATGAACGATACTGAAACAAACATTACGACTCGTAATGCCCGTTCCTACAATTTCGAAAGTTACGTTCTCATTCATAAAAAGAGAAATGTTACGCTTAAATGTCCAAAAGAGTAGAAATATTCATGCCAATGTGTACGGAATTTAAAAAAAAAACAGAGTATTGAAAATCCATAATATATTAATTGTTAGTGAGATATTCTTAATAAATTAAACTTAATAAATAACACTTATTTTAAAAAAAATGTAACAATCGATATGTACCAGGGCTTATCTTAAAAAATAATATTTTAATAATTAAAGATTATGAATACAAAATAATATAATAACATTTATAATATAATAACGAAAAATATGAGAATAAATGGAAGATAATAATCAAAATGTCATCAGCGTCTCAGTAATCATCATAATTATAATACAATTAAAATACGTGAAAATTACAAGAATGTAATATATTTTTAAAGACAGATCTTCTGCCAAGAAGCGCTTAATAAATAAATAGTGCTATAATATTCAATAAGTCAATAAAAGTACAATTGAATTAGCTGATTGACCGACTCAAGAGTTTCGCGTCCAAATGTACCTCTGCACAAGATAAATCTATTGAAATTATTCACAGATCATATAGTCTTCAGAAAAAAAAAACATTGTTTTAAACTTTCAAATTTTAAATTGTTACCACCTGAAATATGAAAGTGTGTTCTGAAGAAAATAAACATAAGATCTGTTAATAATTTTAATTAACATTACCGGTAAAAAAAATTCACGTTTTCCTTTTAGAATTTTCTGATGAATCATAATTCTTAAATTGATGATTGATTCAACACCTTGCGAATTGCACAACTCTGCAATGCCCGAACAAATTGCTTTATTTCATCTTTAAATATTTGACCTTAACAATTTTAGCAAAATATTACAATGGCAAAGATAAGTAAAATTCAGGTGATTATTTTAAAAAGTTAGAGAGAACACATGAAAAAAATTAAAAAAAGCTGACAAAGTTTTCTGTGTCATTGAAGTAGACCCTAAACAGAGGAAAGTGTGATCAATTCCACCGTCTTCATTTTTTTTTTCTTTCTTCTGAAAACAACCGGTGATTCTGATAGACAGGTTAGCCTATCGTACGGTTCCCACTCATTCCACTTTGAACAGGAGTAGAGGTTTATCCCGTGCTTTCATTTTAGGATTGGATTTCCGGTTCTTTCGAAAGTATACTTAAACTCTATACTTGTAACATCTCCGTCTAAACTCTGAAATTTAAATCAATACTTTTTTCTTCAATAGGAGGAGATAAGTGTGCCTATCGTCCGGTTCATACACCTCCCCGCTCTATTGAACAGGAGTAAAGGTTTATCACTTGTTTCCAGTTTAGGCTTGTATTCCCATTTACTTCTAAATTCTTCTCTCTTTCTTTCACTACCAGTAAACCTTTACGTCTTAGTGACCTTATCGCCTTGTTTGGGTGAAATGATAAAAAAAAAAGAAGTTTTTTCTGTCTTTCTTCGTGATCAAAACGGAATAGTCCAATATTATTCATTAGGTATTAACAGGATAAAACTTAAGTACTAAGTAAGGAACAAACAGAATTATAGTATTTCTAAGCCCGGCTAAGGCCGAAAGTATGGGACACCCAGTGAGGATCGAACTCACTACTCAGTCGTAATTGATCTAGCAAGACAAGCTTTCTAACCATAACACCACATCGAGGTGCCCTAAGTGATTTTCCAAGCGTAGCTTAGATGTGGCACAAGGCCGAAAGTATGGGGCACCCAGTGAGGATCGAACTCACTACTCAGTTGTAATTGTTCTAGCAAGACAAGCTTGCTAACTATTACACTGTCTCGAGGTTCCGTAAACAAACAGAATTATAATACGATAGATTTATCTCTAACATCTGACCTTAATGAGCGTTTCGAGGCGAAACTCTTAAGTCGGTCAATCAGATAAGTCAATTGAAATTTTGTTGATTTACGAAATGTTAAAATATAATATAAATGATTAATAGTTCCATTTAACATATTTCCCTTGTCGATGGAAACTAGATATTTTAAAGTAACAGAAAAAGAAAGAGCCACACAAAATATATACCATGCATACTCGTGTAAAAGTCGACTTCATTTTTCAGAATGAATTTTATGCTCTCCAGAAATAATTACCGTGTCTTGTCCATACGGTTACAGAAAATGCATGATTTTAATCTTTTCAAATATATATATATATATATATATATATATATATATATATATATATATATATATATATATAAGTTATGAAGAATTTGGTAAACCGAATTGGTAATTCCAAAGAAGAGGAAATCCTGAGAGCACAATGTGAAGAACAGAGCCAATATTTAATGAACAACAGACACTTTAAGGTACCATAACAATAATTTATTTCACCAAAATCCTTTTTAAAGGATTTTGTTTCCAATTCCCGCCGAAAAGGATTTTGGTGAAATAAATTATTGTTAGGTTACCTTAAAGTGTCTGTTGTTCATTATATATATATATATATATATATATATATATATATATATATATGCATACCTGTGCGCCTCCTATTTCTGCGTAAAAAAAGAACTGATCATAAAAAATCACGCCATAATCGAATATATACGGTAGATAAGCGATAACGAAACGGACTTACCTCATAGAAGACGGCCGCTGGCATGACTATGACAGCGACCAAAATGTCTGCTACAGCCAGTGAACATATAAAAAAGTTTGTTGCGCATTTAAGGTTACGCTCACGATAAACGCTTAGAACCACCAATACATTGCCGAAAACCGTGAACAGCGGGAATAAAGTCAGTATGAGTTTCCAATACTTTAAAATCGCCTCGGTGGGTACGGTTTCGTTTGCGTCTGTGCTATTCCAACAGAGGCTGTCATTCCAATCGCACAGCCAAAAAGTGTCGTTGTAAACGAACAAGGGATCTCCAATGATCGGTGTTAAGTTCCGGGCGGCTGCTGCGGCGGCGGCAGCAGCGGAAGAGGAGGCGATTGTCGCGTTATTTTGTATCGCCGCCGAATAGTTGGCGCTGTTGGCAAAAGCGATGCCACTCTCGGCGGCGCTGATCAGATCGTCTCGAAAGCTGCGTCCCTGCTGCGCCTGTGTCCCAGCCACCTGTCCGCCCACACCGGACAGAACATCGACAGGGTCGGCTCCCAGCAGACCCTCGAAGAAATCTGAGGACGGTTGACTGTCCCGTTCTCTTGAGTCGGACGGTGAAAAGAGTTTTTCTAAAAACACGCTTCCTCCGTTGTAGACGTCCGTCGCCATCTTGTGTGCCTGTCTGTTTGTTTGTTTGTTTGATGTTTGTTTGTTTGATATTTGTTTGTTTGGTTGGTTGGTTTATGCGAGACACCGAGCAGTTGGAAACGTGTACAAAATCATCACATGGAGTTTGGTGAAGGTCACGTGGTACGCACAATTGGGATCTTATGAGTCAATATGTTATCTGTATGCATATGAGTGTTTCCGCTATTTAATTTTTTTTTCATTTATCAATACGTGGTTGCTATTTGTAATTTTTGTAGGAAACGATTCTTATAAAACAGATTACTGTCGTTTAACATGAGTAGGTTAAACGGATTTTGATCACTTCTAACTTTGTTGTCTGCTTTGTGTAGATTTAGATTGAAGTTTGGATTTAGAGTCGAACCAATATACTATGATGATGAATCACATGAATTTGAATTTACCTGTTTTTTTCATTGTTTCCATTGTTCTCATTTTACAAACTCATCAATAATCACAAAGGTATAAAAATATAAATAAATAATTATTGATTATTTTTCTCTATATTCTTTATCATTGTTAGAATTCATCATTTAATTATAACACTGCGTAAAATACGAGTTTATTAAACATCAACATAGTTTAGCAACTATATTAAAATTGTATATATATATTTAACGAAGTTGCTATTAAATATAATAATGGTTGTTAAACTTATAACTAGAAATCATCAGGTTTTACTTTGACTTCCATAACAACAATAAAACATTTTTTTTTTCATTTAGAGGTTTATATATATTCAGTTTTTCAAGCTTAGATAAGTGTTAACCCTATTTTGAAACGTAGATTTTTTTAAAAAAGCGTTTTAGTTTTTAAACATTGTAACGTTTGTCAGTGGTCATAAATGACATTTTCCAAATTCTATTTCGTATTCAATACGTAGCCTGTGGGTGGGAGCGAACTGGTTATTGTTATCTATGTGTTGATGCTTTGTTGTTTTCGTCGATGGAATTTTTATTGGATTGCTGACTGTTTTTATCGGATCGTTCTTCTGTTCTGCAATCACTTTCTGCGTTTGTTTAGCGGTCTTGTTTTTTGTAGTGAGGACGTAAGATACTTGTAGATGTGGTTCAGGATTTTTCTTTTTCCAGCTCAGCGAGAGGTCGACGTCGATTCGGTTGATGTGGGTGAGGAAAAGATCGTGTTTGACTTTCATAGATTTTTTAGGTGAGCAAGGCGGGGAGCGTGGTTCACCCTTGAGACACAACATGGCGTGACTTCTAATTTTTTTTTTTTTTCTAGTCGTCTCCTCTGGCTTTTTCGAACTAAATTTTACCTTCTTTCTCTCTGAAAAATCTCTTTCAGGCACACACACGCACACACACTGACGCACACAGAAACACACGCCATGCACACACAGAGACAAGGTTCTTATTTGTATGGACTATTGGTTGCTGAGGATTTTGTTTGAAAATCTCTTCGCGTTCTTTTAGTTGTGTTTGTATTTAAATGACTTAACGACACTATAAGATTTAAAAATTCACATGGCAAAAATTACATATGAAAATACACGAATTTAATGGAATTTTAACATCGTATTAGAAGCCAGATATTGCCTATATTCACTTTAGTATATCAAGGTTAGAGGAAACAAAATCCCTGATTTTCATTTAATATCTACAAGACTACATAAATATATATATAAATATATAAAACATAGGGAATTTTCTTCTTAGTTATTGAATTGTAACCACATTTTATAGTCTACAAGTCTTATTTTCTCTGGTAGAAAAATCTAGAATTCAGTGCTAATGTCCCTGTATTGTCGCGGATTTATTATCTATTTTAACAACAATATAGCTATAAAAGAGTTTTTTTTTAAGTCAACACTAATCCAACGTTATTTTGATAAACCTATTCATCCATTGAGCGTAACTTCGTTCAACGTAAATATTAATTACTCGTTCTTCTTTCTACTTCCTGGCATTACTATAATGTTTCAACTTGAGCGACTTCTGTCGCTAAGAGGTAGTCAACTTTGGCGGGAGTGCGATAGCTTTGAACAGTTTTTTTTTATCGTGTCTGTATGATTAGCTTCAGCGCATGGCAAGGAAAACATGGGGTTGTTTATTCTGTCTTAAAATGTGTAAAAAAATACGAAGAAGCATAAAACTGAACGATCTATTTTTATCGCTTTAGAAAACAAAGTATTCTTTAAAATAATCCCTGAATCTTAAAACGAAACAATAATAATAATAATAATAATAATCATGCATCTATATGTCTTTTACAATACGCATTTTACTATTCGTCTTCATCTCTCATCTCAGTGAGAAAAAGAAACGCGCATATATAGGTGAGGATCTTGAATAATTTCTATAAAAAAATGTTTATTGTCAACCTTATATTATTGAATTCATTCACGCAGTTATATTTAAGAATTTTTTTCTGAATTGAAAACGTTTATCTGCTTTTGTTTTTAAAGGAACACTTTTCATGGATTTATATTTTGCGTAAAAGAAATATATATAGTTATGAAATTAAAAATCAGCTAACAACGCGTGACGACGGAACAAGAAAAGACAAAACAGCAGTTCTCTTTGTTCCTTGAGCGAAAGAAGCGAATACCTCTGTCCGCAGAAGTTTTCGCACAGTCAGATAAAATTCCATTCGATGCTATAATTAAAAAAAATCTATTCAAGACGTTTTAGTGATAAATTCATCTAACAAAAAATTAAAAAAAAACTTACAGTAAAATTGTTAGCCTAAGGGGAAAAGATTCAAATAAACACAACGAAACCTACTTCGGCGCGAACGATAAAAAAGTATCTTAAAATATAATCATTGAGATAGACCAATCAGTTAAGATGGTTTGCTTGATGAATGTCAGTAAATGCGTTCTATTTACGTGTCTTCTGTTAATCTACTTCAATGAGATTTTTTTTAATATATTTTTTTAGCTTTCGAAACGAATTGTGGGATTTAAAGCTCATAAAAAATTCCGTTTAATATTTTCACATACTCCTGTTCGGTTTTCCGTATTTTCCAATGTTGCTAAAATCGGAATATTTTGTGGATTTTCGTGTCACTATAAGCAATCATAAACAGCTGTAATTTTCAGTAATTCTACAGAAATTAAATTTATTGGCGCATGTAACCATCTCGGACAGATGATTTCCTTTTTGTTACCAAAGAATTCTCTTTCTAGAAATCTTGAATTCTGGTGTAAATACATCCAGCTGGAGGGAAGGTGGGAGATTCTACGTATGCCGTCTCTTGAGATTAAGCACATCCTGAAAAATGAAGAAAAACGAGATCGATTTATATAAAACAAAACACAAGAATTAAGTGCTGAAATTGAAAGACAATTACTAAGCGCAAATTTTAAGTTTCTGATCTTGAAAATGACTCACTCACAGAATTATTCATGCATTTGCGGCACCATGAAAGACGCGTGAAGTAAGAAAAAAACACGAAAAATAAAGTTGGGTCAGTGTGTCGTGACAGAAAATTTATATCGTCAGAGACCATCTTGCACATTTACAACCAGCCGCTCGTCCATTGACTACTGCTCTGTTTGCTCCTGTTATTCATCTCAAGGATCTTAACAAAATCCCCAAAAGGGTCTGTAATGTAATCAATCCTGATTTGGCTTCAAGACTTCGGTCACTTACTCACCGACGTGATGTGGCTTCTCTCTGTCTTTTCTACAGATATTGTAATGGCAACTGCTCGGACGAGTTTTTTCCCTCTTGTGCTGAGTACATAAATTTAAGCATGCCAATAGATTGGCATCTAGGTCCGACCCATTTACGGTTGAAATAACTAAATGTAACAGCCATTTCTACTTAAAGAACTTAACATGAAGTTGTACCTAACAGTTTCTTTTCTTGCACTTTCCTCGTGCGGACTTCCCTTCCCTGATAACTACAATCTTCAAAAAATTAAATGCAACGTCACTCGCCATCTTCCATCTTCTTGAACCCCGTCCATCTTTTAATCTTTCATTAAACCTACCTATACTCAGTCTTTTCTCACAATTTCACTCCATGTAACCCCTTTGCGTACTAGTGGCATTCCCGTTAATCTTTTTTCCTTTCATCAATCCTCCCTATACTAGAGTCTTTTCTCACACTTTTACTCCATGTAACCCCTTTGCGTACTAGTAGCATTCCAGTTCATCTTTTGTCCTTTCATCAATCCTACCTATACTCAGTCTTTTCTCACACTTTCACTCCATGTAACCCCTTTGCGTACTAGTGGCATTCCCGTTCATCTTTTGTCCTTTCATCAATCCTACCTATACCCAGTCTTTTCTCACACTTTCACTCCATGTAACCCCTTTGCGTACTAGTGGCATTCCCGTTCATCTTTTGTCCTTTCATCAATCCTACCTATACTCAGTCTTTTCTCACACTTTCACTCCATGTAACCCCTTTGCGTACTAGTGGCATTCCCGTTCCTCTTTTGTCCTTTCATCAATCCTCCCTTTACTCAGTCTTTTCTCACACTTTCACTCCATGTAATCCCTTTGCGTACTAGTGGCATTCCCGTTCATCTTTTGTCCTTTCATCAATCCTACCTATACTCAGTCTTTTCTCACACTTTCACTCCATGTAACCCCTTTGCGTACTAGTGGCATTCCCGTTCATCTTTTGTCCTTTCATCAATCCTACCTATACTCAGTCTTTTCTCACACTTTCACTCCATGTAACCCCTTTGCTGACTAGTGGCATTCCCGTTCATCTTTTGTCCTTTCATCAATCCTACCTATTCTCAGTCTTTTCTCACACTTTCACTCCATGTAACCCCTTTGCGTACTAGTGGCATTCCCGTTCATCTTTTGTCCTTTCATCAATCCTCCCTATACTCAGTCTTTTCTCACACTTTTACTCCATGTAACCCCTTTGCGTACTAGTGGCATTCCCGTTCATCTTTTGTCCTTTCATCAATCCTCCCTATGCTAGAGTCTTTTCTCACACTTTTACTCCATGTAACCCCTTTGCGTACTAGTGGCATTCCCGTTCATCTTTTGTCCTTTC